ACTTGGTAGGATGGCAGGCTTCCTTCCTTCTCACACACACACGCACACTGCATACTAACACACAGCACACACCCACTGTACACATACACATGGATACACACCATGCTCACACAAACACACACACATACCTAATGATGTTGTCACACAACAGCAGCAGTTACAGCAGGACTCCACACCAGAACCCATTCATTCACCACAGACTCCAGAGGATTTAACCATACAGGTTAGTTGGCTTTGAATTTTTTCTCTCTCTCCCTACTTTGTCTTCTGTTATTGATTTAATAGAGATATACATAAAGTTACTGGTATATTTCATTTTCAAATATTACCTCTGTTATGCATGTTATACTTCTTAAGAAATATACAAAATATCTGTAGTGTTGGGCAGATTTCCATGTGATATTCTATACACATAACATATCCTCCGTCCCTTACTTCAGACATAATCTAGTGTAACTCAGGGCCGTTAAAAGATGGCCGGAACTGTTGTAATCAAGTTTCTGCTCAGATTTCCTTTTTTATTTTTATTTTTTTTTGGCAAAGTAAAGTTTGCATGTTTTCAATATGGATTGCTAAAAACTAAAATTCCATGTTTTAACAATCTATACGCCACTTGTATACACACACACATATATATTTATATATATTTGCACATGCATTCATATTCTGGTTTATAGGCTTGATAATAGACATTTTATATATATATATATATATATATATATATATGCATGTCTGTGTGTAGTATCTATATTCACCTAACCATACTTGTATTCTTCTTAAAAAGGAATATTTTACTTTAAAATATTTTGATGTGCAGCTATAGAGGTTTCTCTGCATAAATATTTTAATGTTTTTTTTCCACCATCTACTCATAGGCACATGTGTATAACCGATGAAATAGCCATAAATATAATCTAGGTGTACAGGTAGGAAGAGAAAACTTGATATGGTGTAGCATTATCTTAAATTCAGGGAAGCTCAACAAATAATTACAAATTAATCTCTCTTCTTTATGGCTAGAATATTACAGAATTCTAACAGCAGAAAAATCATTAACTGTTTTTTTTTTTTTTAATGCTGCTAAGTCTGTTTAATATGCTTAAAATACAGAATTTTGTATTTTCATTCATATATTTTTTTTCACTCATAAAAATCACATGAACATGTCTGTATTCCATATTGTATTTCTGTAAATATATTGAAAGTCTACTAGATAAATGATTTTCATGGCTACTATAGTGTTACAAAAATGTAAAAAAAAATAATCTGTTTATCTATCTACCTATTTGTGAATATTTGTATTTAGTAAATATAAACTTTTTAAAATGCTGCCAAGACAACAAACAGGACTTTATAACGTTTAAACTTGTGGATATTTTTATCCTCCTAACATATATATATATATATATATATATATATATATATATATATATATTATATGTACTATATTTTAAGTCTCAAAGGAATTATTTCCTCTCAGATTTATGTTTTCAAACTTGAATAAGTATTTGGTTTATATGCCATTCCCTATTTTGTATGTATGCATAAAAAAAATAAATATCTTCTAAGAATATTTATCAGAAGGAAAAGCATAAACTCAGAAATAATGTACATTATTCTCTAATAATATTCAGATATTTTCTATTTTCAATTTTTTCCAGATTTTATTAGTTCTTATGCATTGATTTTCCTAATGTACACTGAGAGTTATTTTAGTGATACTTTATAAAATAATACTCATTTAATTATTGAAAAATATATCTTATATTTATAATATATTTACTTTTATACTTTCTCTTGCACATTTTTATATATACATATATATATATATATATATATATATATATATATATATATATATATACACACACATATATGTGTGTGTGTGTGTGTGTATATATATATATGCATGTATGCATATATATATGTATAGATATATGTGTGTGTGTATATATATATATATATATATATATATATATATATATCTGTGTGCGTATATATATATATATATATATATATATATATATATATATATATAAATATCTATATATATATATATATGTATATAAATATCTATATATATATATATATATATATATATATATATATATATATGTGTATATGTATAAATATTTCTGTGTATATATGTGTGTGTGTATGTGTGTGTCTGTAATGTACTTGGTCTGTAAAAGTTCCTTCAGAAATGTCTTATTAAAGAGTATAGACAAACTCAATAAACACAAAATATCTATACTCTATAATATATATATATATATATATATATATATATATATGCATCATAGTTACGTGTCTGTGTGTGTAATCACACAAAGGAGTGCTGAAAAGTATTTAATCCCACCAATAACCCCCTTTGAGAAAAAATTCAAATGTTTGGTCCTTTAGCCAAATTTTGTGAAGTGGGTCAGGCTGAAAACTTCTCAGTACCCATTTATATGGTGGGAGTATATATAGGTGAATAGCCTAATGATGAAAAAAAAGTATGAAAAATATTTATTTTTTAACATTGTTCCTTTTCAATGCATGTAAGCCTATAGTTAATATTAGTCACATAAATCAATCATTATGCAGTGAAAATTTCAGATTCAAATTAAACGTATATATGCACATCAGGCTTACTTTTTTGTTACACCCTTTTATATATACACACTATATACACACACAACACAATCTAAACATGCACACACATTTAAATGTCTACACTGTACTTAGAAAACTTTTAGAAAATGTTTGAAATTAAAAAAAATGACTGAAACTGTATTAAGTACTATTTCGATAAAGTGAACATTTTTATGGAGTCATTTTTTTCTGTAGATTATATCATTGTCACATGCATTAATTTTTTTATATGTCTTCAGGGAATAATGCCTTCTCAGATTTAGCATTCAATTATTTGAAAAAGAAAGAAAATTTTTATGCTTTAATGCTTTCCTTAATTAGAAGTATCACAGATATTTTCTTGACCAGGAGTATCACAGATATTTTCTCAATCAGGAGTATCACATATTTTCTTAAGAGTATGGGATACTTTCTTAGGAGTATCACAGAATTTTTCTTAGTCAGGAGTATCATCAATATTTAGAGTAACTCTTGATGAACAGTCTGTGCAAACACAAGTATTTAATTCTTCCTTCATTTTATTAATGTCAACATTTCTCTATGAAAAAGAAGAATTGAAATCTTTTTTATCTATTCTTCATCCTGAAGGAAAGATATCAAATAAGATAATGAACATTTTCTAGAACATTTAAAAAAAATATTTTGTCAGAAATAAAGAGGATTAATTAAACAAAATAAATCTAATCTATAAATGCAATTTCTTGTACATGTGTCTGTGTCTACACATGACCCAGAGTTTCAAAACCTACTTGAAAATTTTACATTAAGTTTTAAAAATAAACTTTCAAACAAATTCTGTTTCGATTGAAATGGATAAAACTGTTAAGATTCTCATGAATGAGCTTCTTATTTTGACATTATGCAGGGAGAAAAACAAAAAAACAAAACAAAACAGATACACCATTTTTATCTTTAGCTAGGCTGAAGGATATTGCCCTGCAAGAGAAGAAAACTAACTTCTGTTTACTTTTTCTTTCATCTTCCAGTTTCAATTAATACTGATGAAATGAAATAAACTAAAACTGAAAGAGGTAAATAATGAATTAAAAAAAAATATATAATCTATGCAGTGCTGGGTAACCTTGCTATTAAATGCATTTATTGTATTTATACAATAAATGCATTCATGACTGCTACTATCAGATACTATGCTTCACCTTGTGAAGGCTCTGAGATTTATTTTATCCATGATTCTTCCACTGGAATGCAATCTACATTTTTGTCTGCAGCCAAATATTATTATAATGATGATGATAATGATTATAAAAAAAATAATAATAATGATGATATTTAGGACACAATCATCTAATGTTGCATCTGATTCTTTTTCCTTCGTAATCTCACTTTAGATTGTATAGATATAGTAATGCATCATCATCATTGCCATGTAAATAATACACTTTACTGTTAAAGCTTTCTTTCCATCATTTCTCTTTTTCTATCTAGTTGGGAGGTAGGTATAAATTAGAAATATTATGTTCTGCAATATATGTTGATCACCTGAGCCTTACTTATATATGTGTGTAATTAGATATATGCTTGTAATTACATATGTGCATGTATGTATTTGTACATGTAGAGAGTTGCATAGGAAGAGAGGTAAAAATAGAAAAATAAGTAGGATTATGTTTGTATGAGAGAAAAAGAAAGTGAAAGTGAAACCAAAAGCTGACATATAGCAATGCAGAATGATATGCACATTTCTTTCAAATTCTCCCTGTTACTTTCTCTCTTTTTCTCTAAGAGTAAAAAGCAGTTTCACGAACACACACAATGCTCATTATCTACCTATCAATGATAGGTTGATTACTGTGTTTGGTAATATAGAAGTATACATTAAGAGTTTTGTTTGTGATGATATGCATACATACACACATAAATATGTAAATACATGCACACACATAGAGAGAAAGAGAGAGTGATGGATATATACAAAAGATGTAGAGAAAGTGTTACATGCATGTTTATAGAGAGAAAAAGATGTATATATTAATAAATTCAAACACAAGACATATGAGAGGCAGAGAGAAAGCTTTGAGTGACTGATAAGGAAAGATAGAGAATTGTAAATAAAAGGTCTTATAAAATATTCTAAGAACCTACTAATCCTAAACATAATGCTGCAACCTGCACTAAAATTACCTTTTTGATATTACTAGTTTACTTATTAATAATAACAGAAATAAAAAGACAAGTAAAAATATTATTATTAGTAATGTTGAAAACTGTAGTGAAAGGAATGTAGATGATCAATCCTTTAACAGAGTAAAATAAGGAATAAACGAAAACCCTTTGGGAATAAGGCAATAGAAAACAAGACTATAGCTTGGAGACTCAATCAAGGCATAATCAATAAAACAATAAAGGACACACACACACACACACTCTTTCAACTACTATATAAAAGCATTGCAATATGCAAAGAGAGAAAGAAAGAAAGAGAAAAAGTAGGATAAAATGCATAGTGCAGGCGGGTGGAGAATGTGGAGAGAAAGAACAGCTCGGCCTCCAAAGTAGATGGACTCTGGATAGGAAACTTATTTGTTCCCCATGAGTATTTGACTGCATTAAATATTGGTCAAGCAG